GGTTGAGGCTGAGTGACAGGTGTCTTCAGTAGAAATAGTGCTTCAGTTTCAAAGCCATGTCTTCTGCAGACCTACTGGCCTTGCCTCTACTGCTCAGGAACTGGGCAAGCTCCCGAGTTTCACTGCAGAGTCGGGGCAGGGGTGGCGTGCTCGGGTTGGAGGTGAGGATGGACGGAGGCCCTCAGGCCCTGTGCACAGCACCTGGCCAGTGCCTGGCCGTATTGCCCAGTACCCGTAAAAGGCTTCTGAAGCCTTTGCACACAAGATCTCCCGCCAGACAGAAAGTCCAGGGAACATTAGAGCATGCAATACATGTTTCGTTAAGAGAGAGAAGGAGGAACAAATCAAAGACTGAGCTAGCTCTGGAAAGTTTTCACACAAAACCTTCTGTAGCATTTTGTCTTCCATCCCCGGGAAAATAACACGAAATGGAAAAGAGGTATAAGCCCAAAACTCCGGTGTGGGGTTTCTTCTTGAAGTTTCTCCATTATGCTTTGGTTTTCTGCATTCTGTTATTCATGTAGTGGCCAGTTCAAAGAGATGACATATTTATAAGGCCTCCCCCACCCTGCCCCCCGTAAAGGTGAGATGCAGCTAAAGTAAGATACCGCCTTCTTCAAGATGGATAAAGTGAGGTGGGGCTGGAGCAGCAGTACCAGAGGAGGAGAGAAATGGGGAAATGGGGTGAGAGAGCAACAAGGGTCCAGTGCACAAGGCATGACTGTCAGCTGATAGGATGGATGTTCACCCGTGGTTTAAAGAGGCATGTTCCAGAAGCATGGTGCTTCTTTGATTTTAGCCACAACATTGTATTTATTTTGAAATTTCAAGTGGCATTTAAAGGAGATTTTTGTGTTTCTCGAAACAGTGGCATATGACACCAATTTCATTGCTTTATAGTCACACCTTGTATATTTCAGGGCCAATTTCATTAGCTGTTACTTAAGACTGCTTGAATGCTTTATGATTATTTGGTCCAAATGAAGAGGAAATAGTACTTGCCTATTTTATCAAGATGCCATACCAATTAACTGAAGGTGTGAAAGTACACATTATTCTTGTTAATAATATATACTCAAACCTTTTAATTTTATTAAGATAACATTTTCAAAGCTAGCAGTAAATCTATATGTGTGAAATGTTTATGCCTTTTGTAAATTTGATTCATTAAATGCCTTTTATTTCTACATTTTTTATGACACTAGGCAAATTGGCAAAAGACAAGTTAGCACAAAGAAAATTACGTTAACTCCTATGCCTAGCAAAAATAGGGAGTAAGATCTTTTTGCTGTGCTTAAACTGCTTCAAAGAGAACATGTAGGGCCTTGAGGCAGCCAGACCCAGGCGTGAAGGCCAGTTCCTTCACTCTGACCCACAGCCTTGGGCAGGTGTTCAGCCGCCAGAGCTGTGGTTTCCTCGTGTGCTGAGCAGGGATGAAAATCACTAGCTCAAGAGCTGATGGGGGATTAAGTAGTCAGCACTCACCACTCGCCTGGAGGATGGAAGACACAGGAGTCCCTCCTGGCACATCTCCTTCAGACTCCTGGATCACCAGGTAAATTAAATGAGATGCCCTCCTGCGCCCAGTAGGGCGCCAGGCTCACACTCAGCCCAGCAGGGGTCTCTTTACCTCCCTCAAGGATGAATGTTTTCAGGATTACATCTTGTTTACTTTTTTTGGAAGTTTTCTCATTTTCATTTGTAAAGAATTTAAGAGAATGCTGTGCTTTGTGAAAAAAGTTAACACCTGAACAGTAGATAGAGGAGTTGGGTCACTTTTCCATGTTTCGAAACCCTGAAAGGCATCTCTTTTGCTTTACTTGTGTATTGCATGTTCTCACATAGATGGATGCCTTCTTTCCACCCAGTTGAAGTTTCTTTAGATCATAGCCACTTGCTTTCCTTCCATTTTATTTTTTAGTTTTTAAATTTTATTTATTAATTTATTTTTGGCTGCGTTGGGTCTTCGTTGCTGCACGCAGGCTTCCTCTAGTTGCAGCGAGCGGGGGCTACTCTTTGTTGCGGTGCACAGGCTTCTCATTGTGGTGGCTTCTCTTGTTGCGGAGCATGGGCTCTAGGCGCGCGGGCTTCAGTAGTTGTGATATGCAGGCTCAGTAGTTGTGGCTCGCGGGCTCTAGAGTGCAGGCTCAGTAGTTGTGGCGCACGGGCTTAGTTGTTCTGCGGCATGTGGGATCTTCTCAGACCAGGGCTCGAACCCGCGTACCCTGCATTGGCAGGCGGATTCTTAAACAACTGTGCCGCCAGAGAAGTCCCTTCTGCCATTTTAATATTGAGATCTGTCATATAGACAGCTCCAGGTGGTCTTTATGTGGTCAGCACACAGTGGGGGGAAGATTTTTTCTTGCCCACTGAGTTTACTGGGCTGGTTTAAAATGTGAAGGGGAGGATAAACAACAAGGTCCTACTGTATAGCACAGGGAACTATACTCAGAATACTGTGATAAACCATAATGGAAAAGAATATGAAAAAAGAGGGCTTCCCTGGTGGTGCAGTGGTTAAGAATCCGCCTGCCAATGCAGGGGACATGGGTTCGAGCCCTGGTCCAGGAAGATCCCACATGCCATGGAGCAACTAATCCCGTGCACCACAACTACTGAGCCTGCGCTCTAGAGCCCGCGAGCCACAACTACTGAGCCCGCATGACGCAACTACTGAAGCCCACGCGCCTAGAGCCCGTGCTCTGCAACAAGAAAAGCCACTGCAATGAGAAGCCCATGCACCGCAACGAAGAGTAGCCCCCGCTCGCCGCAACTGGAGAAAGCTGCACACAGCAACAAAGAACCAAAAGCAGCCAAAAATTAATTAATTAACAACAACAAAAAGAGTATGAAAAAAGAATGTCTATGTGTATAACTGAGTCACTTTGCTGCACAGCAGAGATTGACACAACATTGTACATCAACTCTACTTCAATAAAAAGAAAAATTGAAAAAAAAAGTGAAGGGAAGGCCCGTTAGACTTTTGTTACTGTTGTTTACCATGATACTAATACACATTCCTCTAAGCCTAAGAAAGGTGACTGTTCTTTAAAAGAAGGTTTGATTCTTTAAGAGACAGTTTTCGTCATGATTACTTTTCTCATCGGTGTTCTTGCTCACGCTTCTTCCTCCCCTGGAAAGCTTCCTTCCCCTGTCCCCACCCCTCCACCCCCTCCCAGTTTACCCTCTCCAGGTGTCAGTAGCCCTCATCTCAGATGTCATTAAGAGTCTCCTCTTCTATGGAGCTTTTTCTAAATCTCCCAAAGTTGGATTGGCCATTCTTTCTCAGGGCTCCCCTGTTCCTTGTATACTTAGTTCTATCATAGTAGCCGTTACCTCTGCATTGACCTCCTTTATCTACATGCTCGTGTTTCTATCTGTGAAAATGCGAATAAGCTTGCTGAGGGCAGGAACCCCATCATGAGGTCCTGCCAGGCTCTGCCCGTCAGGCTGAGCATCTTACTTGGCCCGTATTAACGGCTTAGTAGATGCTGATGAATGAGTGATGTGTTAATCCCCAGTGTAAGGTCACGAGAAAGACAGCCACTTACATGGACACAGCAAAATACCTTCTGGGAATGTCAGGTTTCTGTCATTTTCTGCCTTTGGAGTGTAAACAACAGATCACCAGCAAACAGGGAAAGGATTCTTGGTGACAGGAGAGTAAGGACCACTAGCTTTAGGTGGACCTTGCTCAGTCTTTTATAGCACTCCTTTGTGTGTAAAACAAGGGGACAGACAGAACTGTGACTGTGCTGACGACAGGATGACTGACTCAGACCAACTACTAAGAAACCTGGCACATATATGTATACATACACATATGTGTGTGTGTATATATATTTTTTCTTTGAGACATTCTTGCAAAAAATTAATAAAATGTGTCCTTTCTTATAAAGGTGTGTTAGTTTGCTAGGGTTGCAGTAACAAAGTACCACGAACTGGGTGTCTTAAACAACAGAAATTTGTTTTCTCACAGTTCTGGATGCTAAAAGTCCAAGATCAAAGTGTCAGCAGAGTTGGTTTCTTCTGAGGCCTCTCTCCTTGGCTTGTAGGTGGCTGTCTTCTCCCTGTGTCTTTGTGTTGTCTTCCCTCGGTGTCTTGTCTGTGTCCAAATTTCCTCTTCTTATAAGCATACCAGTCATATTGCATTAGGGCCCACCCTAATGACCTCATTTTAACTTAATTAACTCTCATCTCCAAATACGGTCACATTCTGAGGTGCCAGGGGCTAGGCCTTCAACATCTGAATTTGGTGGGGAGGGATGCGATTCTACCAGTAACAGTGTGGATTTTAACTGCTTAATATATATATGTAGGACAGTTTATTGACTAAGAATACATCAAGTGCTGTGTGTGAGGGTGTATATATCATACCATGTTTGTGTGTCAGACATACAGAAAGTCACCACTCTTAAAATAGGGGAGTTTAGTAGCCTGGGTATGGCTACTTCTCTAAGCCATCAAAAGATTCTGTCCTCCTTATGTGGCAAGTATACAAGAAAGGGGGAAACATTACAGATATTAGCAGCTATTCCTCCAATTAAGAATAATGCCTTCTCTGTACAACAAGTTAAAGTATACATGAAATTTTGTTAAAATTAGTAATCTCTTTACATAAGAGTAAGGTTAGACTTTACAAGTTTTATCTGAAAGGTTTTCTATAATATCTCTAAAGTTTGAGGAAGTACCCAGAAAGCTACATCAGATGCTGTGGTCAAGGGCAACTTGTGTTTTAATTGACGTGTGTAAGTGGTAAACCAAAGACTCTGGAAGAAGAACTACAAACTTGTATTTTGAAAACGGATTTTTCATTAGAATATGGCTTGTATACACAAGGAGAAGTACTAACTTGTTATTCCCATGGATAAGTTATAAGAAATGAATTTCCTACAAAGCTTAGAAATTCCTTGATTGTTTGAAATTTTCATCTATAATATTTTAAAGAATATTTATTTTACATTTTGTTTTTTATGTTCTTCTCTGCTTTTAAAATCCAGCTCATGGTCTTTGGAATCTTTCTGTGCCTGGATGCGTTTCTGTATGTGTTCACCCTGCTTCCTTTAAGAGTTTTCCTGGCGCTGTTCAGGCTCTTCACACTGCCTTGCTATGGCTTAAGGTAAGTTTAAGATTATGAACTATTTTAAACATTTAAGTTATTTTTACTACTTGTAGTTGAGCTAAATAACCACTTGCATAGATTTTTTAGAATAGGGATAATCATTAAGTTTCTTTCACACTTTGGCCCTTAATGCATAAATGAATATTTTTTATCTTTTTAATGAATATTATATAATATGCTTATATAATATTTGTACATTTTATATGTACTTTTTTTTTCCAAATGGTTTTGGACCAGAACTTTGCTTTGGCCAGTAAACAAATGTTAATAATGCAGGAGGCTGTGTAGAAGAATAGAAAAGGCCTAGCACTGAGAGTCAAGGACCAACCACATTGCCACTGTGCTAGCTCAGCCTGTACTTTCATTTTCTTCAAGTCCCTTGGCCTCCTGGGCATCATCTGTAAAGTGAGGACCAGGTGCTAGGCTGGGAGGTGGGCGGCGGCTGGCATCAGAATCTCCTAGGGAGCTCTTAGTACAGGGTTCCTCCTCTGTCTCATTTGAGAGTCTCTGTCTTCATGGCCTAGCTAGCCTTAGTTACTGCTTACAGGTGAGACCCCCGTCTGATTTGTGAGAGGGGAAAGCTCTTGAAGACCATTGTCCTGGTGGGAAGGATCAGACAGTCTGGCCCAGCATAGATTAACTGACGAGTCATCAGCAACTACTAACTCCTCTAAGCTTGTGTCCCCATCAGTAAAAAGGGGATGTTTAGAGCCAGCATCTTTTACCACAAAGACTGAGAGATGTGCAAAGAATACCTAGTGTAGTGCCTGGTTTGTAGTAGACAGGAATAAATACTAGCTTCCTTCCTTCCTTCTCTTCCAAAACTGGGAACAGGAAGATGAAAATGTAAAGCTTATGTGAATCTTATTGCTTTTTTGGCCTTGAGGTTAGAAATTTGGATTTTACAGGTTTTTTCTCTGTGGTTACATCAACATGCCTCTGCTCTGTGTGATCACTCTCTGTAACATTATTACAGTGTTCTTAGCATAGTTGCCCAATTTACGTTTCTCACATGCGTCATTTTTCTAAATACGTTTCATTCCGAAAAAGTTGCAAAATACTGAAATGGACAATAATATGTGAAACTTTATTTAACTATAAAGTAGGTGACTCTTCCATGGTATATTAAATATATGAATAATAACATTATCATCAGTAACCATGGAAACTGAGTTATAAAATTATTGATCAACATACAGAATTATATGTTGATTTTTTTTTAAGACTAAAGTCATGGAAGAGTCTCTTTTAAAGTAATAAACAAGCATATACTTGATATTTAGTACGTACTGAATAACACATAACAGTCTTTTTAAAAACGGCCTTTATCAGTCTTAATAAGGAAGAAATCCCTCCAGTGTAAACTGGAAGAATTTATCAATCATGATGATCATATTGTGATAAGAGTAAAGGCTCTTCTTTGCAAGATGGCATGGGGTAGATTATAAGAATTAAGATCACATCATTGTTATATGTGATACTTCATATTCTATAATCTTCCTCTCCTTCCAGAATGAAAGAATTATGTTATATATTTTATTAATTTCTTGTTAATCAAACGGGAGTATCTTTTTTAGGAATTTACCGTCAACTTTAAGATATTCAAGTACGTGCTTTATGCCTTTGGGAGAATTTTTAAGAAGACTTTATTCGTATCAGCAAACCTTTTTTTTTCAGACATTTGTAGCATGGTACTCCAATATTCAGAAAGCCTAACCTTGTATACTATCACTATTCCTTTATCACTGTTGGGAGCTCAATAGAGTCATGGTTATTTCAGTTACCTTTTCAGAAGACCAAGAAAAAAATCTAAGACATTGCTAAATGGAAGTCTTTATGTGTGATTGCATAACAAGAATAGACGCATGGAAAGTTGGATAAAGCCCAGGTGAGGCTATCTGACATAAAATAGCTCGTGTCTACACTATGAGCTAGATTATTTTTTAGTTATTCTTTGATCAACAATGTGAGGCAAGTTTGTGCTCTAGCTGTCTTTAAGCGAATGGCTTTTAAAGACAGAGCATGTTCTCCGTGGCTGTTGGCACTATGAGATATAGCATTAAAAGGATGTGTAACCTAAAATCAACAAGAGCCATCTTGTTGTTACACAGGTATCTAAACTGTGTCCCTTGTCACTTGGGGAGCAAGGCACCAAAGTAGCATTAGAGAAGTCTTTCAGTGTTTGTTCTAAAAACTGGGAGAGGTGTTGCAGAGAGCTGGGAAGACTTCATCCCTCTACTCCTTGTTGGCTTTAGTGTGAGTGGTCAATGGTCCCTAGAGCCAACCATTTCTGGGTATTTTAAGGGGGGTTTTTTTGCCATAAAAAGTAAAGGTGATAACTTTCGTATATTACTTTAAAATACTTTTCAATCTAAATTAATTTGAATAACATTTTAAAACAGAATTCAAGTCCGTTGTATTTTCAAGTTTTTATGGCCAAACTGACACTAGAGGGCAGCCCATCACACTACAGTGAAGACTCCGCTAAGTTTTCCTGGGCAAACAGTTCTTGCTATTTCTGCAGTTTGGATCAACTGAAAAATTACATTTTATGCCATCACTAATAAATATGTGTATATATAACGTGAAGTGCAGTTAAAATTATATAACAGAACTTCAGCACTTTAAATACTCTGTGAGTGTAGGCAGATTATACAGAATATGAAGATACTGCCTTCCTGTCTTAGTGCCTTAAGTATACTTTATCAGAATTAGCAAAACTATTGTTAATATTAAGTCTAAGACCTTTCAGATATATTAGGAATATAAAAATAAATTTTATTTTTACAAAATTATTAATCAGCCAAGTTTTGTCATCTTATAGCTTTTCTTCCAGCATTCTCTACTTCCATTCAAGATTATTTGATTTGTCTTGCCTGTAGCTGTATCATGTCCCATCTTTTTAAGCAAACAAAAAGTGCTCTTTCCTTCAGTCTGACTTTATTTTTTCAAAGAGGTAAGAAGAAATTAAAGAGACCAGCAAAGAGGTTAATTGCATTCTTTTTTCTGTTTTCTTTTTCTCACTCTCCTGTATTTTAGTTTTCTTTCTGTTAAAAAAAAAAAGAAAGTTACTATTGATATCTTCCTAGTCTCTTAGTTGTTTGAAATTATTCCCCAAAAGCCGGGTGGGGGGTGGGAAGGGATATTTGTCAAAGTAATCAAGATGCTGACATGAAAACAGCAACAGTTTGCAGGCTCTAGTGCTGTGGTTTCAGTGTCACATCATAGCAGAGTACTATTATTGCCCTCTTTTCAGAAATGGGATTGGTGTTCTCACCTCCTCTACGTGCAGAGTTGTATCTGGTACAGCATTTGTGAGAGGCTTCCGAAAGCTGACAGCCTCCCGGGTTTTCTGCTTTAGAATTGATTTTTTGAACCTATTTCTAAATCTTCTGCAGACTTGCCGTGGGTTTTGGTTTGGGGGTGTTTGTCAGTACTGACAAACTAAATAGACTTTCTGCCTTTCACTAAGCCTGAGGGCCAGGGCGAATCTGCAGCCCTTAAGAAACCAGCCTTTATCGTGATTGCTCCCCTGGTGGACATTTTGCCAGCTTTTGACCCTGTTAAAATATTTTTCATTTTGAGATGTTGGCAGGGTAATTTTCTTGACTCGATAGTTGTGTGTGTGTTATCTGCAAAGGGTGTACTGCTTGCATAAAAAGTTTACACCTGTCCTTAGTAATCTCAAGAATATTTAGGTGAAAACTGTTGCTAATGAATTTACAGTCTTGAAAAGTCTTTGCCCTTAACTATTTTGTTGTAGACTAAAATAAAGAAATACATCGATTCTTTAAAAGCCAACTGATTTATGTATGTCTTCCCTCTTTCTCAGGATAGTATAATTTTTTAAAAACATTTGAGAAACTTCTTGAATTAGGATAATTTTTTTAATGATGAGGACATGAAAATCAGAATTAGGTTTTGATTTATTATATGAAGTATCTTTGTTTCTTGGAAGAATGAAAGTATTTTGTTTTTTAGAAAAGTAGACTGCTCTATATTATGCTAAAGAGGTATCCAACATTATTTTTTCCAAATTTACTTATAGAATAAATAAATAATAACCAGTTGTATGTGTGTTTTTAATTCACCTGGCATTTTTTCTGGATCCTTTTTCCTCCTCCAGCCTGTGGCTTCATTTTGTGTTGTAGAAGCCTCAGTCACATTTGAGTTAAAAGTTGAGGGAGATTGTAGAGAAAAGCAATACTATCTGGTGCCAGGAACTGATAGTTTTGAATACTTTGCTAAAATATTTTTAGACAGTAATAAGTGTAGAGTAGGTTTAAGTAATAAATGCTAGAGTATTTTTCCTTTACTATTGGAGCAAATAAAATATGTGCAAGTAAATTTTACTGATTTCTCACCTCGGTTTTAGGCATAACTCTTACTTGGGCTTTATGTACTTTTTTGTTTTTCAGAGGCAATGGTGTCTTTTTCTTTTGAGAATTTACCCCACAGAAAGCTCTCATCTCCCGAAGAATTATGAATTTCAAATGCTTGAGAGTTTCTTAACCCATTGGGTTTCTTCCGTATGCCTTACCTCCTCCAAGGTAGTTCTACCTAAAATTAACTGCACACATATGAACACACACACATATACATAATAGATTTTTCTCTTTTTAGATATAAGCCTTATTTTTGGCCTGAGTGATTCATGCCACCCCTGTCGCGCATGTAGGGAGAGCTCTTGGTAACTTTCTCTGGGGAAACAAGTACGTCTGTCATTTCCTCTTACCAGGGCTGGTCTACGTGGCTGATTTGTAGAGAGCAATATATTTGTTAGAGAGTCTTCCTAACCTCAGTTTTATTGTCCGCTGTTTCCTCACCATGACGCTCTAAGTAGCGTAGCAACATTACAACCTTCTCTCTTTCTTTCTCTCTCGTAAATCAGACCGAAGGGAGGAGCACTTTCACTTCCTTTATAGAATGGAATGTGGTGTCACAGGGACTCCTCGTGGTGAGTAAACCCTGATTTTTCCTTCTATACTCTTGGCCAA